AATAATAACAAAAATCATAAAAATAATAAATAATTGATAACAACAACAACAGCAATAATAATAATAACAAAATAATAATAATAATGATTAAAACTCCGGCACTCCACCCAATATTCTATAAAAATCTGTTCGTAGCCAAGTCCCTCTTGGTTCCGATAACAGCAGAAAAGGAGGCCGTGCCATGCTTTTAGCTTTTAGCGCAGGTACCCCTAATGTACGTGTGGGTGCGTGGGTGCGTGCGCGTGGATGGGTGTGGTGTGTGTGTGGTGGGGGTGGGGGTGGGGGGGGAGGTGGGGTGGGGGGTGTGTGGGGTGTGGAGGGGGGCGTGTGTGTGGCTTGGGCGCGGGTGCGTGTGTGTGTGGTTGTTGTTGTTTGTGTGTGGTGTGGGAGGGTGGGGGAGGGGTGGGTAGGGGGCCGAGGGGGTGGGGAGGGGGAGGTGGGGTGTGGGTGGATGTGGGGGTGGGCGGTGCGTGTGTGTGTGTGTTTGTTTGTTGTTTGTGGTGTGTGTGTGTGTGTGTGGTTTGTTTGTATGTGTTGTGTGTGTGACAGGGATAGATTGATAGATAGACAGGAGATAGACAGGATAGATAAACAGTGAGATAGATAGATAGCTGAGAGGAGACGAGAGAGAGACACAGAATAGCCAAGAGAGAGAGAGAGAGAGAGAAGAGAGAGAAGAGAGAGAGAGATGAAAACACAGAGGATAGGACAGAGAACATAAGGAATAGACACATCACACACACACACACACACACACACACACACACACACACACACACACACACACACACAAACACACACACAACACACACACACACACACAACACACACACAAACACACACACAACACACCACACCACACACACACAAACACACACACACACACACACCACACACAACACACAACACAAACAAACAAACACACACACAACACACACCACACACACTAACACATCTACCCACCCATGCAATACCTCATAACAAATGAAAAGGAATAATCAATAAAGCCCAATAAATCACACGAACGCAAGAAAACAAAAACAAAAACACCGCAATTACCTCACCTCCGAAACAAAGGAATATATAAACGAAAGAAGAATGAGAAATTAATAAGGAATCGAAGACTATGACAGCTGTTCTGATGCTAATGATCGCTGACATTTTATAATTGGCTAATGATAATATAATTATTCTTAATAATTTTTTCAGGTTATGCCGATTCGGTTCTTTGATGTTTGTTTTTATCTATTTATTTATCTATTTATTATATTTATTTATCTATTTATTTATCTATTTATTTATCTATTTATTTATCTATTTATTTATTCGTCACCTGATGGTTCTGGTTCTTTATTGTTGATGTTTGTCTGTTTCTTTATCTATGTCTTTGTTAATCTGTTTATTCTTATTTCTATTTCTCTAAAAATGGAAATGAATAGAAGGAAAAGAAAGTTGGGAGGAAGTTAGAGAATGGGGAAAGCAGAAAGGGAGAATAGAAAGAGGAAGTGAACAATAAAACAGGGAATATACAGAGATACACAGAAAGAGAGAGAGAGAAAACCCACACACACACACAAAGAGACAAAAAACACGCACAAAAAATAAAACGCAAAAAGGAGACACAAGCACACGCGTAAAAGACAGAAAAATCACACAAAGAAGAAGAAGAGGAAGAAGAAGAAGAAGAAAAACAATACAAAAAAAACAACACCAAAAGAGCCAAAAATTAAAAACAGAGAAAGCCCAAAAACAAAACAAAACAAAAACAACAACAACAGACAAACAAAACAAAAAAATAAAAACAAGAATCAATAACCAACCCCCCCCCCCTAAAAAAAGATAAAAAAAAAGCTTAGAAGAGCCTCCACCTCCTTCAGGTAGGTCCTCCCCCCTCCCCCTCCCCCCCCCCCCCTGTACGTAAACATCCCTCGTACGGACACCAAGGCGGAAGTTGCTCGTCGAGAGAGAGACCCTTTCCGAGACGAGCGCCGCCGAGGGACCTGATTTACGCGGCGGTGAAGGAGGAGAGGGGAGAGGAGAGAGGAGGAGGGACGGAGAGGGGGAGAGGAGGAGAGGAGGAAGGAGAGGAGGGGAGAGGTGGAGATGAGGGGCTTTGGGACGCGCGAAGGAGAGGATCGGAGAAGAGGGAAAGGGGATGGGAGAAGAGGAGTGAGGGGTGGGAGGAAGGGGGAAAGGAGAGAAAGAGAGGAGGAGAGGAGGAGAGGGAGTGAGGAGGAGGAGAAGGAAATGGAGGGGGGGAGGTGGAGAGGTGAGAGGGGGTAGAGGGGGAGGGGATGGGAAGGGGAGGAGGAAGGAGGTGGGAGGGGAAATGGGGAGGGGGGTGGAAAGGAGGAGAGGGAGAGGAGAGAGAGGGGAGGAGGAAGGAGGAGAGGGAGAGGAGAGGGAAAAGGAGGAGCAGGAGAAAGGAGGAGAGGGAGAGGAGAGAGGAGGGAAGGAGGGGGAGGGAAGGAAGGGGAGGGGAGGGGGAGGAGAAGGAGAGAGGGTGGGAAAGGAGGGGGGAAGAGGGAGGGGAAAGGAGGAGAGGAGAGGGGAGATGGGAGGAGATGGGGTGGGGAGGGAAAGGAGGAGAGGGGAGGGGATGAGGGGTGGAAGAGGAGGGGGGAAGAGAGGGGAGGGGGAAATGAGAGGGAAGGAAGAGGGGAGGGGGAGGAAAGGGAGGTAGGAGGAAGGAGGAGAGGGAGGGAGTTGAGGGGTGAAGATGGAAGGAAGAGGAGGAGGGAAGGAGAGAGGGAAAGGGAGGAAAGGGTGGAAGAAAGAAAGGGAAGAAGGGGATGAAGAAGAAGCGAAAGAGGGAGGGAGGGAAATGAGGGAAATTTAAGAGAAAAGGGGAAGGAGAGGAGGGAAGCGAGGAAATGAGGGAAAGGGGAAAGAAAGTTTGGGAGGTGAGGAGGGGAAAAGAGGAAAGGGGGAGAAGAAAGGAGGGAAGGAAGAGGAGAGAAAGAGGAAGCGAAAGTGAGGGAAGGAAGGAAGGGGATAAAGATAGAGAAGGAAAGAGGGGAAGGAGAGAAGGAAAGAGGGGGAAGGAGAGAAGGAAAGAGAGGGAAGGAGAGAAGAAGAGAGGAAGGAGAGAAGGAGGAGAGGGGGGTTAGGAGAAGAGAGAGAAAGGAGGGAAGATGGAGAAAAGAGAAAGGGATGACATGGGAGGAGAGGATAAAGAAGATAGATGGGGGGGGGGGGAGACGAGGGTGA